CACACACACACACACACACACGCATGTCTGTTGTTGTGTGTGTATTGGTGTCCCTCTGCAACCTGTTTAGTCCTGCATTAGTTTTCACCTCACTAGTAAAGTGCGAATGTGTGTTCGTGTGTGTGAGAGAATGTAATTACTTTAGCACACACACTTTTGAGTGAATGTAATGCTCATCTTGTCTGTGTGACCCATGAGGATTGAGAGAATACTGCATCAAATCAGCCGTCAATCGAGTGTGAAATAGCAGTGGGACTAGAGCTCTGATGACTAGAGCATAATAAGCGCTCATGACCTTATACTGCCTTCTGAGAGGCCTGCTTTGGGCCAAATTATCACATACACTACTATTCAAAAGTTTGGTGTTTGTAAGATATGTGTGTTTTTTTTTTGGAAAGAAATTATTACTTTTTTTCACCAAGGATGCATTAAATTGATAAAAAGTGACAGTAAAGACATTTATAATGTTCTAAAAGATTCCTAATGCTGCTCTTTTGAACTTTCTATTCATCAAAGAATCCTGAAAAATACAATTTATTACAGTTTCCACAAAAATATATATTGGGCAGCACAACTGTTTTCAACATTGATAATAATCAGAAATGTTTGTTGAGCAGCAAAGCAGCATATTATACTGATTTCTGAAGATCATGTGACACTGAAGACTGGAGGAATGATGCTGAAAATACAGCTGCGCATCACAGAAATACATTACATTTGAACAGATATTCACATAGAAAACTTTTATTTAAAATTTTAATAATATTTCACAATATAACAGTTTTTACTGTATTTTCAAATAGCAAATAAATCCATGCTTAGTGAGCAGAAGAGACTTCTTTCAAAAACATAAAAAATTGACTCCAAACTTTTGAATAGTAGGGTACGACGGGGCTTAAGACGCCTTTGATATTATTTTCCTCTAAACCACTAGATGGCAAAAAAACATGGCGTGGCACTTTCCAAAACATTCGCTTTTCAAGATGCATGTGCAAATGTGGCTGATCTTTGACGCGATCGCGCGCAGCAGCGCAAAGTTGATTCTGTGCTTACTTGATCTAATATTTTATGTTTTTTTTTAAATGTAGATTTAAGTAGCAAATGAGAATCGCTAAAATTAATGCATATATTTTGAGACAAAGGTCTTCTTAACGTTTTTCAGTTTTAAGATAAGTAAAGCAGCAGTTTTTTAAATAATGAAAGAATGTGTAAAAGTATGGTATTTGGGGTAAAAAAATGCCCCTGCTGTTGGAGCTAAAGGCACAGTAATTAACATGATAATTAATAGATAGCTGACTTTTTTTTTCATTTGTTGACATGACATGGTTAGATTCAGATGGTAAATCATATTATGTTGGGTGTCCATCTTAGAGGTAGTCACCATGTTTAGAATGAAACTATCATATTTAAAAACATGATATTAATCATATCATATAATAAAATATAATTAGTTGTTTCTACTGTAAATCTATATTAAATTATTATGGGATCTCCTTCAATGCTTTCAGAATCTTTAATTTTTTAAATTATTAAAAAATGTATTTTAAAATATATTTTTATAATAACATATTTTAATGACATTTATTATTTATTGAACAAAAATGAATTCTTTTATTTTTCAAAATAAGCAGAAAATAGTACAAACTTTGCTAACGTGATTGTTTTGAACAAGTATTAACTTAGACATATTAAAAAAAACATTATTTTAGCTGATGTATTTGTATCAATACTGTGTGCCTTTTGCAGCACAAGTGTGTGGGGTAAAATGCCCCCTTGCCACCTCATACATTTATACGATTTTTAAACAAAATAAACGACTTGTATGATTTATTTTCACACAAAATTAATGTATGTGAATTTCTCCATTATTGTTCAATACAAAAGTATGTATTTTTTTCTGCAATTATACATTTTAGGTGCAGTGAAAATCACATTTTTTTCTTAAGGTGTGCCTTTAGCCACATTGTACCCTACTATATGTGACCCTGGAGCACAAAACCAATCATAAAGGTCAATTTTTTTGAAATTGAGATTTATACAGCTGAATAAATAGCTTTCCATTGATGTATGGTTTGTTAGGAGAGGACAATATTTGGCTGGACGACATCGGGCACTCCAGGTACGGCCGTTTCACACTGTCTGTGGACACGTATGTGGCCCTCGACCACAAAACCAGTCATAAGGGTCCATTTTTTGAAAAGCTGAATAAATAAGATTTCCATTGATGTATGGTTTGTTAGGATAGAACAATATTTGGTTGAGATACAGCTATTTGAAAATCTGGAATCGGAGGGTGCAAAAACATCTAAATATTGAGAAAATTGCCTTTAAAGTTGTTCAAATGAAGTCCTTAGCAACGCATATTACTAATCAAAAATTTACAGTAAGAAATTTACAAAATATCTTCATGGAACACGATCTTTACTTAATATCCTAATGATTTTTGGCATAAAAGAAAAATCAATAATTTTGACCCATACAATGTATTGTTGGCTATTGCTACAAATATACGCCAGCGACTTAACACTGCTTTTTGTGCTCCAGGGACACATATATCTTTACAAAGAAGGCAATTCTATGATGCATTGCATCATGCTCAGTGAAAAACTCTATCCAGTACAAATGTCTGCTCTGTTTTCTGTACAGCGGTTCACAGGGATTTCCTTTATGCTAATAGTTTAAAGTCTGACTACACAAGGCTGATATTTAAATAAGCTTAGCTCATGATGGCGTAAAGATGTTGAATTAAATTACTTTTGATGTTTTCAAAGCGATAAATCCCCCAGCCGAGCTTTCAGTAGTGTGCGAGTGTCTGACTGCTTGACATCAGGTTTTTAGCTCAGAGGAGGAAAAGCGAGTTTGCTAAGTGAATTGATGCCCGTCTGACTCCTTCCTCCTCCTTTTCTTCTCTTGCCTTTCTTCCTGCTGTGAGCTAGAGACTCTTCTGGATGGATTAAGACAAAGAGAAAAGGGGAGGTGAAGAGAGAAAGACACAGAGAAAGAAAGGTTATTGATGTGTGCCTGGTCGGCTTTAGAGGACACACACACACACACACACACACACACACACACACACACACACTCTCACACACAGACACACACACACACACACACACACACACACGCACTCTCACACACAGACACACACACAGACACACACACAGACACACACACAGACACACACACACACACACACACACGTTTACTTAGCCTTCTGAATGAGCAAATACCACAGACTGTTGTTTATATATAAAGCAAAGACTAACCTAAACTCTAACCCTAAAAGAAAATTTCACAACATTTAATTTAAATCATTTTTATCTTTTAAGATCGTGACCAGAGGAAGGTTTTGTCAGATTTATCTCACTTCAGGAGTTTTCTTTTCCAAGGTACAGCTGTAAAGTGTGGCAAGTTAGCCAAAAATATTTTGCCCTTTAAACATTTTAAAAAAACTTTAAAGGGGTCATCTGATGCTGCATGCACTTTTACAAGTTGTTTGAACTGAAATGTGTGTTGGCAGTGCATGTACACAACCACCCAAAAAAAAAAAAGTTTAATCTACTAAAATCTTTTCCCCTTTCTCAAATCAAGCCGATCTCAGATGCCTGTCTGTGTGACATCACCCAGACAGGCCCCTCCCACCATAGTTTGATTGACAGTAGTGTTTCAGCACAGACTGGACTGGTGTCTTACCTTAGCTCCGCCCTGAGTGACTGTCATCAGTCCACCATTGTTTCAGATGTACACAAGAATGACTCCTAAGTGCTCGAGGTGTTCTGTTGTTGGATGTAATAATGAACACAGCGGTCGTCATTTACTCTCGACATCTGAGCCGCTGAACTCGCAGTGGATTACCTTTGTTTCTGAAGGGAATGCGCCTCCGATCTACATAAATGCGTCTATCATTCGCGAATCATTCATCTACAGAAGAAGTGAGTGTAAGGTTTTTTTAATGAATCTTTGCAAATGGCCTTACCTAATAATGTGCTAATTAGCAAGTCTCACGATGAATGCAGCTAAAGTAAACAGTCCCTCAGAGAGCGGCTCGGAAGAGAGGGGCGGGGTCAGCAGAGCTCATTAACATTTAAAGGAAAAGGCTACAAAACGACTTGATCTGAAAAGAGCTGTTTTTGACAGGGTGAAAACGGTGTTGTTTTGCACTACCATTGAGAAATTTTAACCAAACTATGTTACAGACTTTTCATTAAGACCCTAAAGAATCGTATCAATGGGTTTAAAATGGGCATCCGATGACCCCTTTAAGCAATGTTTGTTCAAACGTCTTTCAAAATATGTGGTTGTGAATAATGGAATTTTGTGAATGGATGGCATTCATGTTCTGTTCGTTCACTGGCCATTCAGAATCTGTGTATATTGATAATGATTTAGAATGAGCTGTCAGTTTACAGAAGAAATGCTTCTGTAGAAGCCAAGAAAGTGATATCAGTAAGTCATGACAACTTATGATTTGCATTTCTTTAATCAAACAAGTTGAACATTTTCAACTTTTTTTTTTTTAGTGTGAGATTTGTCTGGATTTTCTAAGTCAGTTTAATATAATTTAAGTTGAAATTACTAATGCAACCAAGTTGATTATACTTACACTTTAAGGCAGCATAAGTTTTTAAGTTGAAATAGGTGAAAAAGTTTTACAGTGTAATTTTTAAAGTAGTCGTGTAAAATCATCTTAAATTATTCAGTTCCTTGATTTGTTTTATGGGACGAGTAATTCATTCATTCATTCATTCCAAACACAATACTCTACTAATGCGATATTTTCCAAAATAAAATGCATGCATAAAAATGGTGAATATATAAAATGGTGAAAAATAATGGGGGGAAAAGTCTATATGTACACTGTTTAAATGTTTGGGTATAAAATATATTTTTCTTTAAAAAAAACTAAACTTTTATATTCATCAAGGATGCATTGAATTGATCAAAAGTGACATTAAAGACATTTATAATCTTGCAAAATATTTGTATTTAAAATAAATGCTGTTCTTTTGAATTTTCTGTTCATCTGTGAATCCTGAAAAACAAAATGTATCACGGCTTCCACAAAAATGTTGTGCAGCGCAACTGTTTTCAACATTGATGATAATCAGAAATGTTTCTCGAGCAGCAAATCAGCATATTATACTGATTTCTGAAGATCATGTGACACTGAAGACTGGAGGAATGATGCTGAAAATACAGCTGCGCATCACAGATTTTAATTACATTTTAACATATATTCACATAGAAAACAGTTATTTTAAATTGTAATAATATCTCACAATTTTTACTGTATTTTTAATCAACTAAATTCTTTGGTAAGCAGAAGAGACTTCTTTCAAAAACATAAAAAAAAATCTTACCCACCCCAGACTTTTAAACGGTAGTGTATATATCACATAAATAACAGATACTTAAAAATGGCAGTCTGTTGGGAAATGAAAAGAACAGTAAATTGGTTTTATAGTTATTGTAAATATCTGTTAGCCTTTTCCCACTCTCTAACTTTCATGTCCTCACGTCCCCTTTCCAGGGTTTCCTGCAATACAGGGACCTTGTGTTTCCATTTTGTCATCCATTTGATAAATAACCTTACCGCTGTGTGTGTGTGTGTGTGTGTGTGTGTGACTTCCACTGACATTGTTTTTAGGAAAACCCGCCCTAACAGTCAGTCTTACCCAACCCTTTTTCCAACCCTCCCTCCGTTTGTCTCTTCCAGCCTCTCCAGATCGACGATAACTTCTGTGGGCAGGATTTTAACCAGCCTCTAGGGGGCACCAGCACTATCGAGGGCATTCCTCTCTTCATAGACAAAGATGACGGAATGACTTCGGTAGCTGCTTACGATTACCGCGGAAACACGGTGGTTTTCGCAGGAACACGCAACGGCCGAATGAAGAAGGTAAGAGTTTCACATCTTATGGTCTTTTGATACGCTGTGTCTTTGTGCATTATTGGTATCTTCTGGGGTTTTATTTGAGAGAACCTCTTTGATTGGTTGACTTAACCCTTTGCGGAATGCAAGAAAATGGTATTTTGTAGAGGTTTATGATGCAACCTTGGTGATTTGTGTTGTACGTTTGTTTAAAGTTGCTGACAAATCTGTTAATGGAAACATTAAATCAAGTTTAGTTTCTTTATGTATGACTGATTTATTGATGCATATTATTCCACAAAATTACTTTTTTCATTTTCATACAAATTGATTTATTCTACTACTTCAGATTTAATAGAAACCATCAACCAACTAGTTAAACTGACACAACTGTTAAAGAGAACATGAAATCAAAACTGCTCCTGTTTAGTTTCTTAATGCATGTTCCTGCTTATATTCCGAAAGATTTATCAGATTGCCCTGCTTCTGAAATCGCGTTTCATCCGATATCACTTAGGTTTGAACTGTTGGTTAAAGTTAACAATGGCAAATGCTGTTTTAATGTTGTCTTTAAAACTAAAGCATGTCATTATCCAGTGATGAATGCTGATTAGCTTCAGTTGTTGTGTTTGGGACTGTAAGTACATATTAAATGGTGTAGATGTTTACAGCAGACATTTGGAGATGATTGAGACATTGCATGCGATAATATAGCATTCACCATTAAATTAATCACTTATGCTTACGTTATTGTTATTTGTAAGTCTTTTTGAAAAACTGCTGGAGCTTGAGACATTTCTGAATTGGAACGGTGCGCTTTGGCTCAAGTATTCAAGGAGCAGTTTGGCATCGTGGCTCATTTTTGCGGTTTTGAGGTGTGAAATGTGCAGCATGCATCAGGTGTGTGTGTATGATAAGCTCAGAATGAGTGTCTGGCGATGCTGAAGCTGGATTAGTCCCGCTGATCTGGAGCGTCGCAGCAGAGGGCACGTCTGGGCATGAGGAACTCGTCTTGAGCTCGTCCCGTCAGGGTTTAACGCGCTAGACGATTCAGTCTGGTCAAATCAACAACAGATGGACGAGCCAACTATGCTGAACACACACACACACACACACACACTGTGGTCTGAAGTCACGGTAAAGTCGGCCAGCCCCGCTCTCTCTGTAATATTGTTGTTAATTATGGCTCCAAACTGCTGCAGATTCCTCCGTTGAGCTTTTCTGGTCTTGAGTGTCAATAGCAGGTGTTTGTTTGTCCTCTTTTACCACACACCCTGAATTCAGTGTCAAATAAAACGAATATAAACAATGATTTTGATGCATATTGTGTCATCAGACGCTAATCCTGAGGGTTGATTTGAGCTTTGCTGTTTATAGAAGTTAAACTTCTTGTAAGCTCAGGATTGATCTACTGACCCACTGACCTCATGACCTCCATGACCTCAACAGATGACAGTTTATAGTCACTTGATCTCTCTCTGATCTCTCTGTCTCGCTCACTCTTTCTAATGTTGTCAGTGATAGTGGTTGCATGCTACATTTTTATTAATGTTATTAATGGTGTTTTCTAATTCACCACCCTGTATCACGTTTGCTGAATGGAATTCACAACTTGTTTCTTACTTACTTGAGGTGCTGATTCCAAAAATAGTGTCTGTTTTCAGTGATATCGGCCATTAAAGTGAAATTACTAATTCATTCATTCAATTCACTAATCATTAATTTATAAAACATAAATTCATGTCTTATTCTTGCTATAATAAGACTTCTGAAAGTACCATCAGCAACATTTCCTTCCTTCCCTTCTACTATTTTCCTTCTAGTTAGAACAATTGCGGTCTTTGCTTGGCCAACAATACAATTTAATAAACGCCCCTTTTTCTTTTTTTTTATTCACTGCGCCGTTGCATCAACTCTATCAAAGTCGCATCCACAAATGTCCAAAAATGTCACATTTATCAAGCTTTGGGTTATTTCAGAAAATGTCCAATCTTGCTCCAGCCACTAAAGGTTCCTTCAGGAGCCAAAACAATGACAATGCAGGTGTCTTCCTTGATATTTTCATAAAACCCCAAGCTTTCACAACACTGTAATAATACAAGGGTAGATCATTCCAGTTTTTGTCCACATACTTGGTCCAAAAAAGATTTTTACCGAGTCCCATTCCCCCCACTGATCTGATGTTTCCAGCACATGTAGATTATATTATGCCATATTACTCTATTATATTAATTAAATGTATATTTTGCTTCTGTAAGTATGTCTAATCCCTTATTTTATTTTATTTCTAGTTTATATACTTGCATACATTAGTATTTCATTTTGCACTACATGCTAATACTTTTTAAATATTATTATTATTATTATTATTTTTCTTTCTGTTAATACATATATGCACTATTTGTAAGCAGCCCAGCTGCAATTGCTTTGGTAATACAAATGTATAGTTTTTGTCATGCCAATAAAGCACTCTTAAATTGAGAGAGAGAGAGAGATGGATAATAACCGATTACATCATGTCTGGATTACGTAATCAGATTCCAAAAGTCAAGCCTACTTGTAATTAAAGTATATTACATTGTAAAATGCTCATAATCAGATTACAATTTTTTTTTTTTTTTTTTTTACAATTTATGGAGATGTTAAACAAATTAAATTTTTCTTTTTTTTAGTGTTCAAGTGTTACATAATTTATATAGAAAAGTATATTAAATTATTTAAAATGTATATAAATTTTTACATTTTTATGATTTAATTAATTATCAGCTTTTTATCAACTCACAAACCCACTGCAGTTCTTGCGTTGAGCCCAATTTGGGAAACCCTGGATTAGTGTAATTTAATGCATTTTATGATGATAAAATTATATTTACTTTCTCTTTGCTTTTTCTATCAATATGGTACATTTATTGGCAAGTTTAAAACAAGTTAGATAAAAAGTAATTCGTAGTAGTCAGAATACATTAGCTATGTACATTAACACTTAATATTTAAGTCGAATTTGTACTCCATACATGGATTATTCCTCAAAGCATGTCTTTTCGTTTTTCTTTTTTTTTTGAGAGATTTTTGAGATTTATAATCCAACCCCAACCCCCTTTTTGTTTTATTATCAGACAGACAAAATTTTGTTCAACTGTAGCTCGAACAGTAGAGCATACCGCTGGCAACGCTAAGGTCATGGGTTCAATTCCCAGGGAATGCATGAACTGGATAAAAGCATCCGCCAAATGCATCAATGTAAATGTAAAATGCATCAAAAGGAAATGACTGGGTACTAGTAATAGAGACACTTGACTTAATAACATGGTAAAAACAGATAATTATAATAAAAGATGGGTGAATAATGCATTCTGGGAATACACTGGGTTGTAGTTACGGGTTTGGATCAAAGCACACACACACACAGACACACACACACACAGACACACACACACACACACACAGACACACACACACACAGACACACACACACACAGACACACACACACAGACACACACACACAGACACACACACACAGACACAGAGGAATGCTGTATTATCGCTCCTCTTACATGCAGTTCAAAGTGTTGGCAGTGATTGTAGCGGCGGAGGTTAATTACACACACGCGTGTGCACATAGCAGCGCTGCTGGCTCTTGCGTGTGTTGTGCTGAGCTCTACACGTCTGTAATTAGTGTCTCAGCGTGAGATCTGGCTGAAAACACACACACACCGACTCACTCTGGCACGTTTCCCTTTGAATGATTATTGATTATTACTCTGATTCATCAGTGTAGATTAGACGGTGACGGATTATTACAGACAATCAGCATCTGTTCATCTGCTGTTTTGCAGGGTTTTTGTGGATGATGTGTGTTGGATGGTTGTTTTCATTTGGTGTTGTGCACTACCCTTCAAACGTTTGGAGTCGGTAGGTATTTCTTTCTTTCTTTTTTTTATACGAAGAAAATAATACTTTTAATGCATCCATTCATCAAGGATGCATTAAATGGATCAAAAATGACAGTGAAGACATATGTGATATGAAAAAAGCATTCTGTTTCTAATAAATGCTGTTCTTTTGAGCTTTCTTTTAATCAAAGAATCCTGAAAAATTCAATGTATCACAGTTTCCACAAAAATATTGTGCAGCACAACTGTTTTCAACATTGATAATAATCAGAAATGTTTCTCAAGCAGCAGATCAGCATATTAGAATGATTTCTGAAGGATCGTGTGACACTGAAGACTGGAGGAATGATGCTGAAAATACAGCTGCGCATCACAGAAATACATTACAGTTTAACAGATACTCACATAGAAAACAGCCGTTTTAAATTATAATAATATATCACGATTTGTACTATGTTTTTGATCAAATAAATGCAGCCGTGGTGAGCAGAAGAGAGTCAAACCAAATACAGGTTTGTAACATTTAAGCAACATTTGCTTTCACTCTAAGACGTGAAATGGTTGAAGTGAATTACATTTTTTAAATTGTTATTGAGGTTTCAAATAGTGATGTGTGACCGCAGTTGTAGACTACTCTCTGTGTGTGTGTGTGTGTGTGTGTGCGTGTGTGTGTGTGTGCAGCTGTCACATGGTGATCATATGCCACTGAACGCTCCCGTTTGAACATTCCAACAGTCATGTCCTAAACATACACACGGATGCCTCGAGACCGTCTCACAAAGAGCACAGTGTTCATCACCACACACACACACACACACTCACACGCACTCACACACACTCACACACACACACACACACACGTGCTTAGACACGAGGACGAGCACAAAGACACATCTGTCTGTCTGCCTGTGAGTGTTTGTATGTGTGTGTGTTGTGTTGTGTTGTTTCAGGCCTGGAATCAAATAGGATGAGAGTCAGACTAAACACACACTCTTTCCTCTTTGACCTTTTAAATATATTCACTTTTTCTGTCTGTGGTCAGAGAGTGAGACAGGACAGGACGGCTGAGTTATGGAGAGCGAAAGCTTGTCATCTTTTCAGATGAGCTGAAATATTCATGACATGCTGCTCGG